GTTACTCACACAAGTACTAATATGGTACACTACTAAGATCCTAAACGTAGATGATATGACGTTAATTGATAATCACATAATTGATGCACCCAACAATATGCAAACTAGCCTAAGCCAACTTAGTATATGTCATCCCACAATAATATGAAACTTAACGTAGACAAATGTGCTATTATGTACATTAATTTCACAAAACCTATCCCAATTTCACCTGCTCCTCAAATAGATAATAAGACCCTTAAAGTCGTTCAAACTATGAAAATATTAGGTGTTCTGATTAGTTCTGACCTAAAGTGGAATGACCACATTTGAAACATTTTGAAAAGGGTAAAATAGTAAAATTCACATGTTGAAATTACTTAAAAAGTTCCAACTGAACGTAATCTAATTACAGTATATAAGGGTTACATCAGACCACTCTTAAAATATGCTGTTCCAGTGTGGAATGCTAGTCTTACTAAGAAACAAATTGCCCAATTAGAAACAACACAAAAGAGAGTATTCAGAATTATCTTTGGTAAAGTTTACACAAGCTACGAAACTGCCCTCAGTGTTACAAATTTACAACCCCTTGTCATAAGAAGGGAAAGTCTATGCAAACAGTTTGCTGAAGAACTTTAAAAGTCTGATAATTTCAAAACTTGGTTTCAACCCTAAACGAGAAAGTATAACCTAAGAAGGAGTTCTAAATATGAGCAAATCAAATGTAAAACTAACAGATATAAAAATAGCCCTCTACCATATCTAATCAACCCAATGAATCAAAATAACCAGTAATCCAATTTTTAACATATAACTTCAGGGCCATCTCTGGAATCATCAATAATAATAATAATAATAATAATAATAATAATAATAATAATAATAATAATAATAATAATAATAATAATAATAATATAATACAAACCAAGTAGAATACCAACCTTGTTACAGTAGATATTTTTTTTTGTGTGTATTTAATGCCTTAATTGTATTTATTATGCTATTTATTTGAAAGTCTGGTTCGTCTTGTCGACTCGTTTTTATTCTGTTTGCAGTTTTGAATTAGTTAATTTTTGGTGTATTTTAAAGCAAATTATTGCCTAGTTTTAGGTGTTTCTTTTTTTCTCCCTGTTGAAAGTGCAATATATCTTTGTGAAATTTTACCCAATTTAGCCATTGGCTACAATGTATGTTCATTTGTTGTTGAATAAAATCATTGAATAATAATAAATAATAATAATAATAATAATAATAATAATAATAATAATAATAATAATAATAATAATAATAAA